TGACTGGTTATGTATGTTTGCTTCCTTCTGATGTCGATAAAAAGTTAACTTTAGTGTGGCTTGTCAGCTTTCAAAATACTGTCAATGAACTCTGTGTGTGTCATAAAAGCTGTTCTGAAGTATCTCTTTAAAGTATTTAAAAACCCAAATTGAAAACTTTAAAAGATGCCCATGATCTTCCCTGGTCATCTTCTCTCTTTTTTCTTTTTTCTTTTTTTTTTTTTCCCCCCTCCAGAATTGTTTTTCTGTAACTGGTAGAACTTTAGAACTTGAAATTCACTTAGTTAACAAGACAAAATCTAACCTCTTCCCAAAGTTTGATGCTAATGGACTTCTAATAGAGGAAACAGTTGCGATGTATGTAGTAATACTGTGGTTTTGCAAGTCACACCCATGTGCTTGACTTCACTAGCTAGTAGTTGCATGAAAATCAGCAGGGTGACGGCGATGATGGCGTTAACGCTTGGTGTAAGTTTTGTAACATCAGAACCTCAGGTAGCTTTCAGGTACATATCGGGTGAAGGCCCACATCATTCCTTAGGTCATTCTTAACGCATTCTTTGGCGGTCATAGGCCATTAAAAAATAGATTTTTGGCATGGCTTATGGCAGGTCAAAAGACAGTAATCTAATTTATATAGGGTGTAATGGCATATTTTAAGTGTTCGTTGTATTAGGAAGTGGATTTTAATTTGTTTTATTTGCATTCCTAATGTGTATATTACCTGCTTTTTTGATTATTCCCGTAATGCCAAATGCCTTCCAGACAAAAAAGGAAAGGGCTTTGCTCTGACATGTTGTTAAACTAAATTAATGTGTGTGTTGTCATTGTATCTCACACTTACCTAGTGGCCTCGCTTGTAGCCTGACACCGTGATTAAGTCCTTAAGACCTTTGCCTTCATTGTTTGCGTATTGTTTGCTCCATGACTGACATACTCCATCTGTATGTTATAAATTAAGTTCATACGCAGCATCATTCAAGGGCAGACCAGTTAGGACAAGTTACTGCTTCCTCCCTCCTACAATCTTTTTTTGTTTCTATTGTTTATATGAAAATACCAGGTTGGACAACATAGACAAAACCAGATGTTTGTGCATCTTAAGAACAAGGAATTATAAAAACCAAAATAAACTAAAACAAACAGCTAACCAGGTCAGGTAGAGGAGAAGCAAGATGCTAAGCTTCTGTAACTTGACTCTTTAAGATGATGTACACTAAAACACATACGTATTTCTCAAATAATGAATGGTGTTTATGTACTGATTACTGATTTTTCATTTTCTCACCTGGTGTTCCCTCTAAAGCAAGAATTAAATAACAACATGCATTAAATAACAAATTTGTCCCCCAGCCAGAAGTCAGAATTGGAGGCTTGTGCTCATCCTCTTAACTGCTTCCTTATGGCACTGCAGAAATGTATTCCCAGACTTTGACTGAGGTGCATCAAGGCTCCCCCCAGTTTCTTCTTACAGTTACACAGGAATAGCCTTTTTTTCAGGAGTGAAACCACTTCCTGCGTTTGCAAGAGAGATGACTGCTGAAGTGTGCTGTTCAGGACTAAACCCACAGTTTTAATCAGTGTATTTGTCTAGCTTCCAGTCAGTCTCTACTAATGCTGACCTTAAGGTGACTTGTCGAACTAATGCCTCTGTTAAATAGGAGCTTGCTTTTCCTGTGACTGTTTCATTCCTTTGCTTTGAGAAACAAAACCTCAGGCTTGTTGGGGGGGAAAGGCTCAGAGTCCAGGCAAAAAATCCTGTAAGTATGTGTTCAGGGCTCTCCCAGCCTGTTGCTGCACCTGGTGTTTCAAGTCTAAGGCTTTTGTTTGAAAACCGAACACCTAAATTACTATTTTCTTTCTTATTTTTTAATGCAATATGATGTTACTGTCAACTGAACATTCTTGTCAGGCATGAGTCTTTAATTATGTCAGCCTTATTTTGAGCTGGCAAACCAGCGTAACAATTTTAATAAGATTATTAAATAATGCAGTGAAGGTTAACCTGTTTCCTTGGGGGACAGGAGGGATCGAGTCTTCAAAATACTTGTGAAGCCTGTGTATGAATACATAAGCATCCTTACAGAAATTGGGAAAAAGTGGGGAAAAGGTATGGATTTACTAGCAGGTGTAGATATATCTGAAGGCTCTACACAGGGATCTGGACAGGCTGGATTGATGGCCGAGGCCAACTGTGTGAGGGTCAATGAGGCCAAGTGCTGGGTCCTGCACTTGGGCCACAACAACCCCCTGCAACACTACAGGCTTGGGGATGAGAGAAAGACACTGAGGGGCTGGAGCGTGTCCAGAGAAGGGAACGGAGCTGGGGCAGGGTCTGGAGCACAAGTCCTGTGAGGAGCAGCTGAGGGAGCTGGGAGTGTTCAGCCTGGCGAAGAGGAGGCCCCAGGGGGACCTTATGGCTCTCTACACTTACCTGAGAGGAGGTTGTAGAGAGGTGGGTGTTTGTCTCTTCTCTGAAGTAACAAGCGATAAGACAAGAAGAAACGACCTCAAGTTGTGCCAGGGAAGGTTTAGTTTGGATATTAGGAAAAATCTCTTCACTTGAAAGGGTTGTCAGGCACTGGAACGGGCTGCCCCGGGAAGTGGTGGAGTCACCATCCCGGGAAGTATTTAAGAGTTGTGCACATGTGGTGCTCAGGGACATGGTTTAGTGATGGATTGGCAGATTTAACGGTTGGACTTGATGATCTTAAAGGACTTTTCCAACGTAAATTATTTTATGATTCTATTAGACCACCAGATCGTTTGGGTAATCACTGTTTCTGAAAATTACATAGCTTGTCTCAGTAAGCATCAGAGTCAGGAGGCTAAATTATAGCTGTGGTTAAAACACAAAGCAATTACAGTGTGGTATGTGAGTTTTGTGAATGAGGAGGAGAGTTTTTTGTTGTTTTTTCTTTTCTTGCCAAAGTAAATGAGACCCACATGTGCTTTTATCTTGATTTTTCTGTTCTGTGTGATATATGTAAAGACTGATATGCTTGACAGTTAATCCGTACGACTTTCTTCAGATTCATAAAACATCTTAAACTCTCTCTCTCAGCAGCATACTGAATGCTAAAAGCAGAAATATTTGAAAATAACTAATTCTCCTAATTTATTTAGGCCCGCTATGGTAGAAAACAAATATTGTCAGTGGCGTGGTTCATCCACTTCTGTGCACGTAGAAACTTTGCGCTCCTGGCTCTTGCCTCTCGCGGTGGCAGTAGCAGTTCAGGTCACCTCTCTGGCATGTCACTCGCACTAGCATGGAGAAGCCCATCACTTCTGTGCTTGGATTTAATTAATCATCCTGCTTATTAATAACCTTAGTTGTTGGCTGTGAGAGACTAGTTGTCCTCTTAGGAATTTGGTCCTCTTGGAACAACAACTAGAAAGCAAACTGTCATCTCCTTCCCTGTCTAGGTTGGGGCAGTAAGCGTCTCAGTTTAGGTCAGTGTTGTTTAGAATACAGATTTCTTCTTGTACTTGACAGAACTTAACCATAAAAGTTTTGAGAGAATGTTAAGCTCCTAGGTACTTTTGCAATCCCCTCACTGCATTTTCAGTAGACTATATCCATTTGTATAGGCAACAGTATCACTCTTTAACAATTAAATACAAAAATCACTTTATTATGAGTTTTTTTGGCAGAAAACATCATTAATGGTGAACACTGTCTCCCTTTCTCTGAATTAAAATAGAAAAATGCACTCTATTTTTTTGCAAAGAAACGAGAATGTTCCTTACATGTTGAAATAGGAGGCTGAACCCTTCTGTTTAGGTATGTGCAATTCAGTGTATTTGGTAGCAAAACCATTTTTGTAGAAGGTAGGTCTTTATGTATTGAGATTTTATTGGTTTTGGGTGTTCAGAGCGTTGTGCAAATACCCAGTTAGGAAGTGCCTTTGGAAGAAGTTGCTGGGTGTGTAAAGAGCAGCTTTCAAAGTGCAGGATTCCGGGTGTGCTCTCACATTGAGTGGTGTACCTTCACAGTCCAGATTGATTGATCGCCTGCCAAAGTCTTAGGAGCACTTTTGCTTGTTTTCTCAACTGCCTACGTTTGGTGGGAGTTACACTAGAACTATAGTAAGCGCCGTGCTTACCCGTAGTACAGTTTCTGGCTCCAAGTGGACCATACCCTCTGGGTAGACGAGGTGCCCGCAGAGACAGAGGACAGGGCAGTGGCACCCAGTGGCATGTTAGTGCCCTTATTGCAGTGAAGTGGAGTTAGCTAGAAGTGCTGAAGGGAAGGTAGAACAAATGCCACTGAGGGATGGAGCAAAGGTGGTGGGAGAAGCATGGCAAAGCAGAAGACTTGCAAGGGACATGAGGCCAAAGGAGGAGGTGAGAGTGGGAGACAGCTGTCGTTTGGGAGCAGCATCCTCCAGGCAAGACTAGAAATTCTTGTCAGGATCTTTGCCTGGGTTGTTTTTTCAGCAGTTCTTATTGCTGTAGCTTCACAGGGGTTTGGTTTTGCACTTTCACCCCAAAGCTGCTAGTCAGTGGATAAGGAGAAAGGAAATCTCTTCCACTTGCCAAGCTTCCCAGTTATCTGTAGGAGAGGAGGCCCTTCCTTGGATCTGAGGCACCTAGAAGGGACCCTGCCAGCTGTGCCAGGTCTTTCCTTTTTTCTTCACATGACAGTGTCCGGTTCTTGCTTCAGTTCCTGCTGTGGCAGCTCCCGTTGGCACCTACCTGACCACTTTCTCTTCATAGAATTGCTTGTTGCCTTTCCTTTCAGGGGTAGAGGTGACACACCGCTGTATTTAATGTGTAATTAAGTCTTAAAAGCACTTAGAGAGTCTTCTGAGTAAGTGTTCTGATAAGCACAAGAGTCTGGTTTCCAAATCCATTATTTTGTGTTTGATTTATTTACCTTTTTCGCTTTTTCAACTCGCTTTCTGCAATTTGGACATTCCCATGTGATCCCCGTGCCATTATGCCAGCGGAGGTCTGTGTCTTGCAAAGCAGTGAACGCCGTTTCTGACTCTCTTTCAGATGCAAGTATGGACATAACAGCCTATGATGATTACTCCAGTCCACCGCTTCAGAGATATTGAAAGGAAACCTGAATACCTCCAGCCAGAAAAGTGTGTTCCACCTCCTAGCCACGCTTCCCTGGGAACAATGTGGTTTATTCGAGATGGCTGTGGTATTGCATGTGCTGTCGTTACCTGGATGCTGGTGTTCTATGCCGACTTTGTAGTCCTTCTTGTCATGCTAGTTCCATCGAGAGATTATGTTTATAGTGTCATCAATGGCACACTGTTCAACACCTTGGCTTTCCTCGCTTTGGCTTCACATTTTCGTGCTATGCTGACAGATCCAGTAAGTATATCTCTCTCTGTATGTCTCGGAAAGAAACAGACGGTGTTTTTCTTGTCTGCTAGATGTTGGGTAACTCAGTTGCCAAGTGAGTGGCAGATTTAAATAACTTTTGCGTGTCAGCCTGCTGAGCGAGGCTGCTGATGTGGTATGCTAATTTCTCATCCCACTCAAATCACTTGCAAAGTCAAGGACCCAGCTTTAGATTCCCATTGTCTGAGCAGTTCCCCGTTTTGTCCTGGGTAGGAAAGCGTTTCTCTTGGACAGTGTGTTTTCTCCCCAGTGGCCGATCTGGTGTTTGTGGCTTGTTGTGTCTTGACAAACAGGGAAGCTGGAAAAGCTGGTTTTGGTTATCTGCCTTGGCAAGTATTGCTTCCGCAGAATAGAGCAGAACGTGTGTTGTTTTGAAAAGCCACGTTACCGTCTCTCGTACTAGTGATTTACTGGAGTTTATTGAACCACGCTGAAATAAATACTATGTGAGCCTGCCAAGAGCTGACAGTTCTTCGGCAGGCGGGAAGCGTCAGAGTTGTAAGACCCTCTTGTATGTCTCCGTGAGACGTTGCTTCATGAGAGATCTGGTGTGCTGCTTTCTTGTCTTTCAGATAGTGAGAGGATACAGTATAGTACCATGATGCTTATTCTGAGTGACCTGCGGTAGTTTAGTTTGCTTATTAACCTCTAAACAGTAGGTGAGGTTCAAAACCCCATCTCCACTAGTCAGTGGAAGGAAAACCAATTGTAAACTCCTCTTGGCCCCTTCCTCCTAAGTGGAATGGTGGTGTGCCTCTGATACTCTGTTCCTTCCCAATGTCATTTCCTACTTGAAACCTTGTTAGGTGCCTTTAAAACTTCAGTGTAGTCTTTGTTTTGTCGTTTCAAGCTCTCCCAGAAGCCACAGCACTGCAGAAATGGCTTGATTTGGGGTAATCTCACAGTTTATGGCAAAGACTGATGCACCGCATGCTCCTACTGCTGGGCAGAACTGCAGGCAGTAGCGGAGGCTCTGAAACTTCTGGTCAGTGGGCTCCGGCATACAGGGTTGCAGCATCTGTAATACAGTTGATATCCCAGGGGTTCTCATTGTTGTTAATTATTGTATATTGTGTGGCTTTGATGCCTGGGGACTTTCAGGTCGCTGGAATTATTTGGCAGAGTTAGCAGGAACTCTTTTGAAACAAAAGCGGTTTTCTGAAGCAGGCTGGGCAAGCAGTGTTGGAGAACCAGATACAATCTCTATGCAGGGTAGTTGGGAAAAGATATGTGAATTCCTAGTGTGTGGTGGGATTTTTGTGTGTGGATGGCGAACGCCAGTTCACTTTTGTTTTATTCTTTGTAGAGCTTTTTATGAGGAAATCAGCTAAGCAAAATGGAGGAGTGAAGCGAAAAGAGGGGGGATGCAGCAACATCTGACAGGCAGTGTGAGTCAGGGGTGAAGGAAGCTGCCAGGCATGGAGACCCAGAGGCATGTCTAGGATCAGAATGAAACAGAAAGCACTGCTGAGGCACAAAAATAGAAATTCTTACTATAAGTAAATGAACACCTGAATTCCTCGGAATTGATGGCATGTGTCATGCTTTTCAGGAACTGCTTCCTGTGGGTTCTTGCTAAAAACATTCCTAAGGTTTTGAGCTTTGCTGTGTACTAAAGAGAGAGAACATCAGGAGCAGCATTTTGTGGAAATTGGTCTTGGTAGTTTTTACATTGGTGAGGCCAGTTGGGAAGTTTCTGTGGAAAAAACGGGACTGCTCAAGAAAACCTTACAGTGTACTGGTTTAATGTGCATTTCTCTCATTGATGTGCATTGTTCCTGTTTACTGCTGTTGGGAGGTTGTAGATGTGTTAAAAAGAGACTGTTTCATCAGAAACCTGTTGAAATACTACATCCCTGGTTTTATTTCAGTATAAAAGCCTTAGATCCACAGAGGTGCGTTTGTGCCAGTGTACCAGCACCGATTTCATACTGCACATTTCACAACACTTTGGGTTTGGTTTTTTTTGAGCCCTGGAAAGGCCGGAAACTCCTCAGCTCTTGTGCTCCTGCATCAGCAGTACATTACCTGTTTAAAGACACGTATTTTGAAGTGGAAATTGCACAGCTAAGAATGTTTTGCCTAGTCTTATTCAGGTGGGAGGATTCTTAATGTTCACTGTTTGAATGTTAAACCCTAATTTGAATAACAAATACACAATAGAAGCATAGCTATAAATGCATGAAACGTTTACCAGCAACTCTTAATGTACACAATGATACTTCAGAAGTAGCTGCTTCTACTGGAATAAAATGCCTGTGGTTTCCAGTTCATGATAAATTTGTTGATAGAGTTGAAGAGAGTGATGAGGATTCTTAAATAATTTAAGATTAATGTGGGATTACAAAAGACTAATTGCTTAAGTGACTATTTACTGATGTTGAAAAAAAAGAAACCACCAAAATGATGTTTAAGTATGTGGTTCCATATATTAAGACCTCATTTTAATTCATTTTCTGAATCTTCTTGCTCTTCCTGAAACTCTGTTGATCTTAGGGAAGGTTTTATTTATTTCTCTTCCCTCCCCTCCCATAGTTTTAAGTCATCCTATTGTTCTTAGCACTCCGAATGTCCACAGGATAATCTTCTGGTTGGTTGGTTTGTTTTTTCTGCAGGGTGCTGTACCCAAAGGTAATGCCACAAAAGAGTTCATCGAGAGTTTACAGCTAAAGCCAGGACAGGTGGTTTACAAGTGCCCAAAATGTTGTAGCATCAAACCTGACAGAGCACATCACTGCAGGTAAAGTGTTTTCTCAGGATTGTTGTTTTATCAAGACCTCAAGAATTATCCAGTGTGCCTTGATCTAAATTGTTACTGGAGTCTGAGACTGGAGTGATTAAATTGAGAGATTGGCATCAGAATTCTGTTGCCAGTAGTGCCAGGCACGTTCAAGCTTTGCTGAAAAAAATCTCAGGCCTTTTCTGACAAGTTTTCATGGATAGCAGGCTGGGGCCACTTCTTGCAAAGTGAGAAACACTTAAAATGAATGCTGCCTTGACACCAGACCTGTAGTGGGCATTCCATACATTTTCATGTAAGCGTGACTTAAAGAGAGACGTTATATACCAGAATGCATAGAAATCAATTAAATGTAATGTCTCTCAAAAGGTCAGTGTCCTTTCTATTTTTCTTTTTATTCAAAAACCGATTGGTCTAACTAGATTCTATTTGGAAGTGATATTTAAGTTACAGCAAAGGTTCAGGTAACTGTACATATCTTTTAAGAGTTCCAACTTCTCCATATTTTCATTGAGCGCTGTGACTTTGGTTTGTGCTTTGTGATACATCAGCATGCCTACTGATCTGTCATGTCCTTTCTTTCCCTGGTGGGATAAACTCCCCAGAAGAAGAGAGTAACTGGTAGTGAGCTTTTTAGTACTGAAGGCACTAACCAAAAAAATAACTACTTCCTATAATTCTTTTCTGCTTTTAAAGCAAGTGAACCTGCATTCCAGTGAGCAGTTAATGAGTGTGCACTGGCGTCCCTTCCTTACCTGCTCAAAACCCAGTACATACTGAGAGAGCTCCTATCGGGGTTACTGCTGATTCGTGCAGGGGTCTTTGTGGGGAGGGGAATATGTTGTACTGAGCTGAACTAACTTGTCCTGCTGTTTGCATTTTTCTGTTTCTTTGCAGACCTTTAGTTTGCAAATGTTTTCATTTGTTTGTTGTTTTTCTATTTTAATCAAAATCAGGGGTTGGTTTTCAGCAGGGGCAATGTGATCATCGCCCATCATTTATTAATGCTACTGTAAAATCCCCTCTGACACTCCTTCAATTATGAATGAAACTTCGCATCTAAAATGCTGTCTTGCTGATGACTCACAGCGTAGGTAAATGAAAGAGACTCTGGCTAAACACAAGACCTCGTCCATATGATCCTTTTTCTATGCTTTAAGATAACTTTTTAGGCATTAGGGTTTGGGAAACTGACCCACTGAGCACCGATGCTGTTGAGAATATTCAGTCAGATGTTTTTCTGTGGGGTAGGGGAATTTATTGGATTTTGACACATCAAAGTTACGCATATGCATCAGCAGGAGGTACTGCTAGCTGTATGCCTGAGGGGACCAGGGTGCTCTGTGATTCCTAGGCTATTTTGTGAGTCCCCCATGCCCAGCAAATACTCCTGTCAGCATTTGGAAGCTGGGTGGTTGAGTCAAGGGAGAGTGTCAGAGTACGGGCAATCCCTGCTGCCTATAGCTTTCAGTTTTCAGTTTCTGCGTTTCCTTTTCCACCAGCTAGTTTCATGTTCTGCCAGTCATCCAGCTCTTTTTGGTATGTATGCATGGAATGAAACCTCTCCTCCCGGCCTTAGCTGCCTCCTTCACGGATGCCTTCTGGCTTGGCTCCTTCAGGTTGCACCTCTGGGGAACTAGGGCCTAGGCGCAGTTGAGAGGGTTGCTTGGGTACTTGCCTGTTTCAGAGCCCATGGGACGGTGTGTGTGAGTCTGCACAAAGTAAATTAGACCACAGGGAGGCATCCTCCTGCTCGACACCACCTGCCTTGCCTACACCCTCCCCATTTTTTTCAAACCGGTAATTGATACTTGTCATATGAAGTATGATGCTATCTGGCAGATAAGTTGTTTTTACTGTGCCAACTCATTTTAGTCCACACGCAGCTCAAAAATAATTTCGAGCTGCTTATTCTAGCAAAACAAGGCTTCTCCTGTTTTCCACTGGGCTGGGGTGGCAGGCCATGGGTACCGGTGCCTGCCTGAGGAGAGCAGCTCCTCATCCGGCCCCATGCTGGGAGGCTGGGGCCTGCCTGACCAACCTTTCATGCAGGATCAGGGCTGTAGCAACTCATTTGCTCTTCAGGCATGGCATGTATCCTTGGGGATTACTCCCTCCCACCATGTAGAGTGAGTGTTCTGACGGAGAGGTTTTCTATTATTTATTCATACGTGCTCATAAGAACCTATGTATGTTTTTGTATGAGTTTCCCTTAAGCAGTTGGGTGTTGAAGTTGATTGTTTATATTAAGTAAGGTCAACCTATTTTTTGTTATAAGAAGAAAGGTAAAATTAACAGACCCATGGATCCTTTCTGATTCAGCCCTGCCAGAATTGTTCTCTAATGGCTGTTTCCTTTCTGGTCTATTGTTTGCTTGTTTTGGGGGTTTGTGGGGTTTTTTTCATATTTGATTTCTGTGCTTGTTTGTGCAATGTGGTATCAGGAGACTGCCTTTCGTCTCCTATCATATGAGAAAGCAGCAGAGAAAAAGACTTCCTTTATTATGTGAGTTGAAGCAGTTACTGACTAAGCAAGAGAATGATTTTCAGACACAGTAATGATCTTTTAATTATTTGACTTTTTAGCCACAATGTGCATGCTGCCAAGAATTTGAATTTTGATTTTTATTAGTGTCATCTTGTGAAGTGCTTTAACATCTAATTTTACCGTGAATGTATGTTGTGGTACTGTCTTCCTGACTAACTGCCACAACTGCTTTATGCTAGTATGTGGCTTACCTTGATGTCAGGAATCTTTTCTAATGCTTTATTTCATTTTCCTTTTTTGCCAGCTCCTGCTAATGTTGGTAAATAAACATTAGTCTGTTATTAGCAACTCTGAAAAGTATCTATATTCGTTACTGCTTTTCATATCTTTCTGGGTTTTGTTTGTTTTTAATCTGTGAGCATTTTCACAGACCAAATAGGTGAAAACTAAACTAAATCACAGATTTTTCCCATCTGTCTGAATGTGTTGTTCAAACTGGATTTTGGCAGAACCGCTGATGTGAATATTAAGCTAAGGTATCTCACTTGGCTTTAATATTTTACAGTGGTGATTGATATTGTATGATTCATTTTGAACAGGCATAGACAAGTGAGCAAAACACAAACATAAGTGTGGTGACCAGTAAATTTATTTAGGCTCAAATTTCACCTCTTGATCCTTTCCTTTAATTTCTGTGTCCCCCAAACCCCTGTGAAATCTTGTGTTTCTGGAATGAAACGTGCTGTAAATAAAGGCCTCTATTCTTTCAGTGTTTGCAAGAGGTGTATTCGGAAAATGGACCATCACTGCCCGTGGGTCAACAACTGTGTAGGAGAGAATAACCAGAAGTACTTTGTACTGTTTACAGTAAGTATTTTGGAGGTGGTGTTTGAGGTTGCCCGGTGGGCAGTACTGAAATGCTGCGTGTAGCCTGTGAAGCAGCGCTGAAGGCTGGCTTTGTACTCTTTCCTGTTTCAGAACTTTAATTAGGGACCACACACAACGCAACAACGGGAAAAAGGCATCGGAGAAAGCAATTGCCAGGGTTTTGCGAGGTTTGTGTTGATGGTTGTTCAGCACCTCTTTCCTGATGAGAGTAGTTTATTGTGGCGTCGAGCTCTGAGGCGTGGGCCACCCTTTTACACTGTCCTGTGGCTGGTAGTGTCCCAGGCCATATGTAGGGTTCCTAAATGTTGTAGTTGTACAAGTACCTATGTGGGATCATACAATAAAAGCTGTTGCCACATCTTAGGCAAGGAGTGGGAAGTCTACATCCCCTTTGGCAAGAATTATTCACTTTTTACTTCCAAGTGGTTTATTTTTGCACTTGAAAACCGAGGAGGTGTTTGACTTTTTGTACTATATCTGTGCCATCATGAGTAAGAAAACAGGAGTGCAAACTCGTGTGCTACATATTTATGGAAGGGTTGAAATCCTTCATCGAAGTGAACTGCAAATATCCCGTGGGAGTAGCGTGAACATTACAAGGCTGAGTTTCAGCGATGCTCTGTTTTATTAATAAATCTTTGCAGACATCTGCAGGTCCGAGGAAGAATGCTCTCATATTACCAGGGAAAAAGGGGGAGGTTTTCAGTTAAATGAAAGGCTTGCTGTTCTGTAGTGTGGTTTGTTAGGATGTGGATTACAGAACAAAACAAATCCCATTTCTTTTCCTTGAGCAAGGTTTTTTCACCATGAGGAGTGAGCTAGGTGTTTTAATCCTATCAAAAGATTTCAGTTTCTGTTAAAACCGACATATACTTTCAAGCAAGCTGTATTAAACACTTAATGTAGTTGAGAGGAAGAAATAAGGGTTGCTGGTTTTGTCCTTTGGTTTAGTCTTTTTGAGACTTGAGGAGGGAGGAGAGCGGCAGCATACTCAACTTGCCAGGAAAACCAAAATACTCTCCTATCACCTTTTACTGCTTCCATGGGGTTTCTTGTAACAAAATCTCTCTGATTTCCAATATCTGCCAACCTTTGTCAGAGTCTGAAGGTTCAGGAGAGTCATCTTTTTAAGCCTGTCTTGGTAAATTGTAGTGTATGTGTAGCATTGCATATACTTTAAAGCTTTTTGTTACAAAGCTAAGACGTAATTTACAGAAGGGATTAAGTACAACGTATTAAAGCTTGAGAGAAACTTTCCATGCCAGTGTCTGCCTCAAGGGAAAATACTTGCTTAAAAAAAAAAAATCTTTTTTCTGAAAGTCATGCTGGAAAACAGATAAAGTGCTTTTTGTGGTTAAAATGAGTTAGCTGCTGTTTCTCTGGGAAACTGCAGTGCTCGAGAGCAAGGACGTAAGCTTTGACAACGTGATACCTCGATGCTGAGCGTTGCCTCTCTCTGAAAGTCGCACCGTACTCAGCAGAGATGAGGACAGTAAGCTGTGTGGAAGGCCGCGCTGGGGCCCAGGAAGCTGGGGTTTGTGTCCAGCCGGCTTTGAGTTGGAACAGTCTCCCTCCTGTGCTCTCAGAGCTGTTAGCAAGGCCAGAATGAGTCTGTGTAGTCTTGGCATTTGGCAGCTTCAGAGTCCTTGCTTGGGGAGGCTGAGAGGGCTTGGTGGTGTTTGGGGTGGTTTGGGTTTTTTTTGAAGTCTTAACACTTTGCTTTATCTAGAGCATTTGGAAGATTTAGCATTTTGGTCTTTAAATGTAACTGATACCTGTATTACATCCTTTATTTTTCAGATGTATATAGCACTGATTTCCTTGCATGCTCTAATCATGGTGGGATTTCACTTCTTGTATTGCTTTGAAGAAGACTGGACAAGTGAGTACTAACGAAGTATCTCATTAAATACTGGATTAGCCCATGAATAACACCTTATAATGTAGTTTGCTTGTAAGGGAGCCCCTTTTATGCTGGTTTCAGAAGAATGCTGTCAGGGCGCGGCTGTGCTCTCTCTGTTGTTTTTTATTGTGATCAATCCTGGAACTTCATAATTCTATCATCTGACTCGCTGGGATCTCAGTCCTGAAAAGTCCTGTTTCAGCTTAAGCCTGATACTGCCTAGCTTTTCCCTAGAAGCTGAGATGCAAAGACTGCTGGGTAGTATGTGTGCAATAATCTGCTGTTGACATGAATGCAGCACTAATTTCCTGAATGCCAGTACAAGATAAGAAGAATGTATATGCTTTTTTTTTTAAAGGGTAACGTGAATCATTCTTGCAAGACTGCCAGGAAAACATGCTAACTCAGATCCAAAAAATCCACCCTCACAAGAACAAACAATTCCTTTCCACAAAAAAATAAACCCAACGCCAAAAAAAAACCCCAAAAACCCCAACCAAAACCACAAACAAACCAGCCCCCACTCTGGAGCAGTCAGTGAGTACATTTTCTTGAAGGCAGTTGATAAACGTTTTTAAAAGCACAAATAGTTACAGGAAATCCTCTAGGTAATGCTGAGTCAAACAGCAAGCTGTCAGGGAGTGTGTGTGCTGGTTGTGGATTTTCTTTGGAAGAGCACTAGCTTCATTTTTCTTGGAATGTCGGTTGTGTCATTTGACATCATGAATGGTTTTGGTTTATAAACTGCAGAGGACGCATGCGTTTACACGTGTGAACTGAATTTGACAAGGTTGTTCTCTAGTTCCAAACTTTGTCAAACAGCTGCCGGCTGTCGCTGAGGACATCTGGATTTGACTCCAGTGGCACAGGCCCTAGAGGAAGGGTACATCAAAAGATAGGGTTCCCTTTGCCTGTCTTCTCAGAGCCTTTTTCTGTGGGGGAAGCATTTTCCCACCTGTGCCAAGTTGAGGTGGCAGAACGAAGCAGGTGCGAGCAATGGATCTGTTGTTCCAGCTGCCCTGGGTTTGTGCTGATCGTATTCGCCCCTGATGATGGTGTCTCTGTGAAAGCTTAGCATCCCATGAGACAAATAAGTGGTTTTTTTGGTGGTACTCTCTTGGATTTCAGAGACATCTGGAGCTGTTCTGGTATTTACAACAGTCAACACTATGTTTTTTGCCCTATAACATTTTCCTTCCTCTTTTTTTCTTCTGCTCTTCTTTTACAGTTACCTTCTCAGTTTTTTTCGGCTCTTGCTTGAGTTTGCACTGTAAAGCGTGAGGAAAAACAAGAATTAGGCGTATCTGCCTTTCCTTAGGGTATGACTTAGAGCAGTTACGAGAAGAAGCATACTCTGGTTTTATGTTAGTGCCACAGAAATAATTATCCTTGTGACCTGACCGCCAGCTTGAGATTTCTAATGGGACTTTATCACTGTGGAAAATCCGTTAATCTTAAGGTTTAAGAAAGAATCTTGAGGTGAAATGGAGTAGAGTGGAATCCTAGCCAGTGTGCTGGGGAAGAGAAAACTGCATTCTTGAAGTGTTGCAGGGTTTTTTTCGTTTGTCTTGGTTATTGTTTTTTAAACTCGCAGGGGTGATCCTTTCATTGTTGAATATCCTCAGGGATGTCAGAGCTTCCCTGTGCGCCTTTTTGAGAACTGTGATGGTAAAAGTTATTTTGACAGTTTGAGTATGGAAAACTCAGTGGCTTAGCAGGTGTTTTGCAGCTGTTGCATTACCTGATGTCTCCCCTTCCAATTCCATTGTTTTGTCTTCGCAGAATGCAGTTCCTTCTCTCCGCCAACCACAGTGATTCTTCTCATCCTCTTGTGTTTCGAGGCTCTCTTATTTCTCATCTTCACCTCGGTTATGTTTGGGACCCAAGTACACTCCATCTGCACTGATGAAACGGTGGGTGTCTCACGCGCTCTCTCCTTCACCCTGTCTCTCTCACTGTTTGTAGAAACAGTGAAGGCCTGCAGGGTTTTATCCCCTTGCACGGGGAGTTCATGTACGTGTACCCTGTGGGGAAAGATCGGTGATAATAAGCACAGTGCTGGATTGTGCTCTCCGAAGGTTGTGGTGAGAAGTAGCCTACATCTATGTGTACAGCTGGGATGCTGTGTTGACAGTACCTCTGATAAGGTGGGCACTGGTAACTGGGATTATTCTGTGGAGTATTTGTCCCTCTGGATTTGAGAATCTTTTTCCTTTAATGAAGTGCATTTGCACTGGTATTGTCTGAAATTCAGCTGTGTGTCCCTCGGTGTCCCTGTTTACAGCTCTATGTGCTGGAGAGCAAGATGAGTAGGTGGAGGAGGGATAGAGATATATAGAGATATATATATACACGCACACTCTTATTTTAGTCTAGAAGATTTCCAGTTTAAACTGCTTGTTAAACAGTTCAAAAGCTCGTTCCAGAGGGAAAAAGAAAAGGGAGCGGAGTAGGCCCGTGGAGACCTGCTGGGTACAGTGCTGCAAAGCTACCAGTGGTCCCCAGTTCAGAGGGGGCAATAGCAGAGGTACATAGTGTTGTTGCAGTCCGTCGTATATCGCTGTGTTTGCCCACTTCCATAAAGATTGAGCTGGTGACTCCTGGGGATGTCCCCACCCTGGTGAATACAGCCGGCCTTCACCAAGCACGCTCAGGTATCCGAATTAAGTGGAGTGGTTGAAGAGAAGCGATAGTCTTAAAAGTGACAACTCTTACCTCCTCCCGGCCTCCTTTGGTTTTCTTTCCCCTTCACTTGTTTGCCCATGGCCAGTTGAAGCTAAACAGCTGGTTTTGCTGCCGTTGGAGAGCTGTGACTGGCTTTACAGACTGTGCGAGCCCATTGCTCCCGAGTCAGTTTTGCAGTACTCTTTTTAATGCTTGGCTCCTGCAAGAGGCAGCTGCTCACACTGTGGCTCTTCTGTGTTCAGAGGAAGACTTCTGCTGTTCCCTCTGCTGGGGAGAGCCCCAGGAAGAAGTACGGTGCCATACAGAACAACAAGATCTTGCTCAGCTTGAGTTTAGCAATGCTGCCTGTGAAATCATCACCTGAATTTCTCAGTCCTTGAAACATGTCAAGAATTTTTAGAAGCCGTTCTCTACAGCTGGGCATCTAAACAAGTCCCCCAGTTTTCCCTTTCCCTCGAATTCTAGGAACTCCTAGATGTTAAAGAAATGATGCCACAGTCTAAAATCCAAAAATGAAATGATGGGCTCCCCCGGTGGGTTGTGGGGTTTCAGTTTTGTTTTCTCTTTTAGTACGTACCAGTAAGGATTCCGCTCTGCGGAGCGTCTCGCTGTTGATGCACTGGCACTGGGCTAGCTGTGTCTGACAAGCACTCGGTTTTGACAGAGGAATGTTTCCCCATGAGATTCTTTCTGGTGGCGTCTCTTGCAGCGTTTCACGTTTTAGAGATGGGGCTGCATCTTGCCCTTTCTCCCCTTCCTCGTCCAGTCCCTGGGAGACCTCATTCCCCGTCTCGTGTGCGCTGTCCCACCGGGATGGTTCCTTTCTGCCTGAGGGGACCCAGACCCCTGGTACTGTGCTGCTGTCTCTGGAGGTGACATTTACCAGGGAGCAGCACAACTCTTGCCGTTGACCCATGCTGTGTTCCGCAGAGCTCCCAGAATTTGAAGAATTTGAGACTCACGGGTGTGTTACGGGGCGTTAATCCGTAGCACGGGAGAGAGGTGCAAGTCAGGAGAATCTTACCTCGCAAAAGATCCCAAAGTTAAAGAGCAGAGTGGTCTGCCGGCTGCGGGTACCGCTCTCCAGTGGCCGCGCTCCTTCGTTTTGCTTCTGCGGCAGCCGGGTGTAGCTGTCCTGGAAGACCAAATTCACTCTGGGGGTTTCAGACACGATACAGGGAATTACTTTTTTTTTAATGACTGACCGGTGAATGTTTCAGCTGATTGCTTGACGGCTTGTTTTTGTTCTCCCTCTAACCTTTACTAAACAACGCCAATGATTTCTCTCAAATCGGTGTCCTACTTAACCCCTTCTCCCCGCTGTCAGCCCATGCATGTTTTAGCAGTGATTCTAATGGAGCAGGTAGACTCAGCTACACTGAGCCATGGGCGCTTCCTGAACTTGCTTGGTGAATCTGGGAGCATTGTAGAGATTATCTTTGGGTCTGTGGTTTGGTTTGGGTTTTTTTGTCTGCAAGCTCACAATGGTTTCCTCTCCAACTTTTCCATATGGTTAGCACATCACACTTTCAGCCATAAAGCACATACTTTTTGTTTGGGTTTTAGGTGGTGGGGTTATTCATTGGCATCAGAGGCAGTTGGAGGGCAGGTCTTAAAAGGATTATCAAACGTCTAGGCCTGAAGAAAATGAAAGCAATTTTATTTCCAAGGAAAACTTTCTATCTGTATTTTTTTTTTAATTGTAAAACAATGAAAAGAAAAGGAAAAGGCAGGGTAGATGCATTTCTATTTTCGTACTCCGTCCTTTGGATAAGGGGTAACTGACAGTAGACCTTTCCCCAAACCCAGAACTACGAAATCTGAGTGTTTGACTGAAAATGTGATATTTCTGTTTTCAGGGAATAGAACAGTTGAAAAAGGAAGAGAGAAGATGGGCTAAAAAAACAAAATGGATGAACATGAAAGCAGTATTTGGCCATCCGTTCTCTATAGCATGGCTTAGCCCATTCGCAACACCAGACCAAGGAAAAGCAGACCCGTACCAGTATGTGGTCTGAGGAATTCCTGACCAGCATTTCCACTAAAATAGAAATACATTACAGCACTACTGTTATAATTTTTCCATGAATGTTTAAAACAAAAAGCAAAACAAACTTTTTTATCTCTATCAAATGGCTGATAATTGCAGAGAAAAAAAAGCCCTGTATTCCACAATTTTAGATAATTCTATATCTCTGGCTGAAACTGCTGCTGCTTTTCTTATTTTTTTTTTCCCCTTCCCTTTCCTGTTTTGGGTTTTGGTTTTTTTTTTTTAATCTTGTTAACTTTACTGGCCTTTGTTTCTCTCTGCTTTCTGTATGGCGTAACTAATGTGAAGGGGATCTTCTTTCTCTGTGGTGACCCACCTCTTCAGAGTAGATCCTCATGCTATCTCCTGACTGTGATGAGCTCTGTGGAAGACATATGAGTGCCAACAGCCCCACACAGACACCTCTGGACTTCCTGAGGGAGCACGTTGCTCTGTCCTAAGTGAACTCGAACGGGGAAGCAGACACCTCGCTTACCGAAAGGTGCAAGACAGGAACGCAGCACAGCAAGAGAGCCAGTTGACCTGGTGATCGCACACAGTTAAAAGTACTTAAACGTGGCCAACAGCAATTCCCACTCCACCCTCCTTTTTCCTTCCAGCCACAGAACTGATTCCATCTTTCTGGCATTATTTTGTCTGTTCCCGCCCTGTGCGCAGGAAATTGTTGCCCTCTTACGGTAACGGTGGCAGATTTAGAAGACTCTTTGGATCAATTAAATGCCTTACACTTGCAGGACAGAAAGAAATCTAATTTTCAAGAGTTTAGAATAGCAGAATTGTCTTGTTTGTGCGTGTTTGTCTTGGTAAATGACTTGTTAGAGCAGTGCCCGCTGGACAGCGTTGACGTGAAAAACTGACATGGGTACCCAGGTTGCGGTAAAGACCAATCCTGACGGGATGTGGAGGTGCTCCGGGGTGATCGATTCGCTGTTCCGAGCGCTGCCCTGGGTTAGAGCTGTGTAAATCTCCTGTCATGTTTGTGCATACGTGTGTGTGTGTGTGAACACGTGCAAATAGATGCGTACGTGTTTTAAACTGGGAAATAATGGTAAGGAGCACGCGTGCTATTAGGAAGCGTGTGTCGATCCAAGTGGGAGGGACAGAAGGGGTTCCAAAAACGGGTAGAGCTAAGCCATTCGTAACTACAACTGACATCCTGTGTTCAGGCGGGGATTTTGTTGTATTTTTTGGATCATGACTCCCACGGGCTCGTCAAAGGAATTGCGAACAAAGGATAAAAACCATTGAATCAGCTGTGTCCATGACTTCCAAGGAATCTTTTTCATCCCTTGGTTTAAAATAAAATGGGTTTTGGTTGGGGGTTTTTTTTGTTTGTTTGGTTTCTTTTTTATGTTGTGTTTGGGTTTTTTTTTTTGTTTGTTTGTTTGGGTTTTTTTTGGGTTTTTTTTTTTTTGAAAATGACCTGTTTCGACTGCTTCAAAGCCATGAGGGAAGGGAGGGAAATCAGGGAAGGAGAAGTTGAATGGATGTCTCATTTTGGAAGTAATGTGAATGCTGCATCTTTTCAATCTGTCAATGCTTCCATATGGAAAACAAATGCAATAAAATTTTTCCAAAAACTTGTTTGCTGCTGTTCTTTCTTTCTTTCTTTCTTCACTTCAAATGCTGGGAAAAGTCTGTAATGGTTTTCTGAACCTTCACTTCCGTACTCAAGCCAGCAGAAGCGCGTAATGAAGGTTAACTGCGTGTTCAGTGCCCGTGTTTAAAAGCGGGGGGAGCAGTAAGACGCTGCTCTGTTAAGCAGTGGTTTGATTTCGCCACTCGAAGAGGCTGTCAGTAGCCGCCCCGCTGCGTGAGCGGGCCGTTTCTGCCATCCTGCTTGCCCAGGGTAGATGGTCAGGAGCACGTCGTCATCTCGGCTGTAGGGAGGGAGCCACGAGCTGGGCTGCGCTTGTGCCGCGGTGGGGAGGTTCTGAGAAGGAAATGTGGCCTATGCCTTTCCTTAATGAGGAAAAGTTCAGGGAGAGTTAAGGTTTTGTTTTTATAGTGCTGAGAGTGGAAAGCTGTTGCAAATCGATACGTAGCTCTGATTTTAGTATGCGACCGTGTTTCTCGGAGAATACTCCCAGTTTAATAGTTAGGGGCTGGATCTTTGGCCACAATCAGCTCAGCAGGTGAGCCGCGTGCAGGTGGCAGCTTGAACAGGTAGAGTCCGGCCCTAAAACTGTCTTGACTCAAAGCCAAATGTATTGAGGGGAGAGGCTTTAGTCACCTGGGCAATTAACCAGCTAATGCATCTCTCTGTGCAGCTCGTGGCTTTAAAATCTGTTTTCATTGTGAATTCCACTAGAGCACATTCCAGCTTTGGTTTCATTACCCTTAGTTACTGCGTTTTGGAGGAAGATTGGTTATGTCGTTGTGTCATTTTGACCACGGTGAAAAAACGTGCAGTTACTCGGTTTTTCTTGTCTCGAACAAACGCAGCTCGTTAAACAGCACTGCATAGCACGGGTGTTTTCAGTCAAACCAGTTTTGTTTTAATGGGGCATCTTTGCAGGAGTGCCCATTGGTGCCTGTCGTGTGTGTCAGGGTAAGCGGCAGGTCCTCACTTCGACTTGCACATGCGGTGATGCTGTTTGGATGATGCTAAACGTGGGTCAGCGTTGACATGAGAAAGGCAGGCTTAACGATTTGCTCGTGGAAAGCATTTTCTTGAGCAGGACTACTGATTTCAGGTGCTAGTTCTGTTTCAGTGTGGCCAAGAGACACTGAAGGACGAACTCGATGAGAAGTAATTCTTTTTGGAAAAGCTAAGGGGTGCTCCAGGCAGAAATAAACGCAAGGAACTGCTGTAGTCTGCCTTAATCCTGATTTCTGACAGCAAGGCTTCCCCTTAATGGACAAATCGTTACGATTCTTGCCTCTTCTGTTTGCTCTTTGGGTTTTAATAGTGTATTAAAAGAAATTAACTCACTTCTAACATGCAAGAGCTGTCCTGCAGATCGCTCCTGGGCCAGGCTGCGCAGCCCATCACCCTCCTCTGGCGCTGGGTGGGAGCGTAGACTGTGGGCAGTAGTGGGAGAAGCAGGGCATATCCGACAGCGTCGTGGTGGTACCAGGTCGACCTTGTCTTGCTGTCCCCACGTTTGCAACCCTGTACCTCCTGCGGAAATGGGAAGGTCCCGGTAGTTTATATTTCTCTATGCATGTATGTCTTTTTAGTATTGGTTCAGAATTCTGTAATTTGGAATCATGAAAGATGATGCTTTCTGACTTTTTAAAAGTGAAGTAGCCAGATTGTGGCAAAGAGAAACAGGTGTTGGTTTAATTTGAAATAGAAAATTCTCACTTCGTAAGGTCGTGGTAAGAGATTTTGGGTAAACATGTTTTAAAAAATATATTATAAAAACCCCTTTCATTAAACAGTAATGAAATGGCTTCTCAGTTGTGCGTTCCTTCCACCTCCCCTTAATTTTATCATTATTTTTAATGCTAAACCTCATGCCCCGCTGACTGTGGAGCAGGCAGCCAAAATCAGACCAGGACACAATTTTTAAAACTTCTGCTCGTTTTCAATACGTGCCCTGAAGGAATTAGCGAGGTCGGGCTGGGAGAGAGAAAGTAAACCCCTGCCTGCTCCGATTAACTGCTTCCTAAGCTGGCGTTAGCACAACCTCGGCCTGACCTTGCTTATCGCCTCGGTTAGCAGAACTGTTCGGAGCAGGTGAACAGTGGGGTTTTTTGGAAGGGGGAAGACAGGTGTTGCTGTGCAGGAGTGTTCCAAATCTTTATTCTCTCTCTGGATGGCGGCATGGATTGAACCGGGTTATGCCTGTGGCTGAGAGCAGGGCTAAAGCTTGTGCTGCCGGGGAAGGGTTTAAATGCTCCGTGTCTGTTTATCCTCCTGCCCCGCGCTACTTGTTTTCCTTCTCTCCAGATGCTCGCGCAATAACTGCTGCAGCCACGGTGCCGGCTGGTTACTAACGCGTTAGAAGCCTCCGCTGTTTGCTAAGGAAGAGCCCACAGCCAAAGGTCTTCTGCTTTCAGCCGCTCAAGCGTCTGCCTCCTGGTTGCACAGCCACAGGGCGCTGGAACCGGAGCATCCCGGAGGGAAAACACAGGGTAGTGTGCTGAAACGCTTTGCCAAGGCTGTGCTCTGCTGTGGAGGGGCACTGCTCCTTTCCGCCCTGCCCGGCCGGGAGGTAAGGATGGGCATCGGCCACGGCAGCATCGCACGTGGCATCTAAAGGGGCCACAGGGTGCGAGGGATTTCCCCCGGAACAGCCAAAACCGTGCGATTGCGAGCTTGGGAGCAGAGTGAAGGGACACGCGCCCGTGTGTCGTGTCGCAAGGTGCACGTTTCTCCTTCGGGGCTTGAATTTTTCCCAAAACTGTAACCCCGAAGACCTCCGTTTTGGCCTTGCGTCATTTCTTTCCGCACACTGGCAGCTGGGTCCCTCCTCAGTCAGCATGAGAGACGGGGCACAAATGAAGCTGACAAAAGCTTTGCACGTGAAGGCTCTGGTTTATGGCCTGTGTTCTCCCGGGCCTGCTCACGCTGACGCAGCGTCCCTGCAAAACCAAGCTGCTGCCCTATCAAAACGTCGTGTTGCTTGTCAGGCTTGCTCGGAGTGCAGCTGTGGGGCCGCCGAGCTGTTGCCTGTATTTGTTTCCCCCCCTCACCCCGCGAAGCTTTGAAATGTTTTGTGCGTCGTTAGGGAAAACCTGCAGAATTGGAAGGTGACAAGCGCATTTTTCATGCGTCTCTTCTAAGACTGCTCTTTTTTAAATGAAATTGCTCGGTTTTCCTTTCCTTGAGCATCTCAAAACTTGGATGCGGTATTGTTGCTTCTCCAAGAATGGAGTTTCTACGCGGTCACCTGTACATACCGTCATGAGCCTACCGTACGCAGCCATAGATCTGACTCCTCTCTTACGTGATACAGAAGGTGGGCATGAAAAATACTGCGCCCTATTTCCCATGGCAGTAGCCTTAAAAAAAAAAAAAGGCTTAGTCCCTTATTTCTACATGGAGAAGACTACCAGAAAAAACAACGTCGCTGCCCAGCTTGATGGATCTGTTATTTAAATACAGTCAAAATGCTTGTTTTACTAAAATTGATGTTCCTGGCGAATGAATGCATCAGAATATTGACTGACCAAGGCTCCGGCGCTGTTTTGAAGCCTCCGTTTCCAGCTGTACAGAATTCCTCACCTCCCAGCGGGTATCCAGCTCGCATTGTGATTTGTCTTTGATGATTTGTTAAATGGAGTTCTGTGTTCTTAAATACTTGCTCTTAACTGGCACAGAGCGAGCCGCTTGTGATGAGCCTAAATGCGACTGATCGCTGGAAAATGCTGCAGTATGTGGCCTGTATCTGAACTATTGTAAAAATGCCCGAGTAAGGTGAAATTTTAAGTTCTAATTGTATTTTATTACTCCTTGGAGGGATTGAAAAAGCAGTGGGAAAAGAGGTCCGTGTTTCCAAAAGGGATGGCTTTAAAGAATGCAACTCCACCATAAAAATCAATAGCAAGTGATACCGAAATAGGTTACCAAGATTCAGATTTTCCATGAATTTGGTCTTGTTATTAAATTTGGGGATCAAACTCTCAGTAACACAGGACA